TCTCCCTCTATACTTACTTTGTTGAGAGTTTTTAATCATAAATGGTTGTTGAATTTTGTCATCTATTAAGATGATCATGTGATCTTTATTCTTCATTTTGTTAATGTGGTGTATCATGTGATTGATTTGCAGATGTTGAACAATATTAACATTCCATCCTTGCATCCCTGGAACAAAAACCACTTGATCATGGTGTATGATCCTTTCGATTATTTCTGAATTGACTTTGTTGATATTTTGTTGAGGATTTTTGCACCTATGTTCATCAAGGATATTGACTTTTAGTTTTCCTTTGTTGTGGTGTCCTTGTCTGGTTTTGGTATCAGGGTAACGATGGACTTGTAAAATGAATTTTCTCCTATTTTTTAGAAAAGTTTGAGGAGAAAAAAAAAAAGAAAAGTTTGAGGAGGATTTGTATTGACTCTTCTTTGAATATTTGGTAGAATTTTCTATTGAACCACCTGTTACAGGATTTTGTTTGTGTTTTGTTTTGATTACTGATCAAAAACAAAACACAAACAAAAAAATCAGTAGTAATTCATCTTACTAGTAATTGGTATATTCAGATTCTCTTTTTCTTTATGATTCACTCAGGGAGTGAATTTTAGAAAATAGCCATTACTTTTAGGTTTTCCAATTTGTTAGCACATAATGGTTCATAGTACTCTCTTTTGAGTCTTTGTATGTATGTAATATCAGTCAGTAATATCTCCTTCATTTCTGATTTTATTTATTTGAGCCCTCTCTCCTTTTTCTTGGTGAGTCTAGCTAAAGTTTTATCAGTTTTATATTTTCAAAGAAGCAGCTCCTAGTTTTACTGATTTTTTAAATGTCTTTTTAGTTTCTATTTTATTTATTTCCATTCTGATCTTTTTCTTTCTTCTACCAAATTTGGGCTTTGATATTCTTCCTAGTTCTTTGAGATGTAAAGCCAGGTTGTTTATTTGAGATTTTCTTATTTTTGGGGGGTAGGCATAGATTGCTGTGAAATTCTCTTACAGAACTACTTTTCTACATCCTATATATTTGCTATGTTTTATTTCCATTTTCATTTGTCTCAAGATATTTTTTTATTTCTCTGTTGACCTTTTGGTTGTTCAATAGCATATTGTTTGTTTTTTAAAATCTTTATTTAAATTCTTTTTAGTTAACATACAGTGTAATGCTGATTTCAGGTGTATAGTATAGTAATTCAACACTTCCATACAATACCCTGTGCTTATTACAGCAAGTGCTCTCCTTCTCTATCACCTGTTTACTGTTCAGTTTATTGTTTTACTTATATTTTCTACAAATTTGTTTACTTGTCATTTCCATTTTCATCCCTTATTTACTTTTCTTGTTTAATTGAAAGGTTTTATATTTATTGGTTTTCTGTCCATTAATTTAACTGATATTGGCCTATAATTTTCTATTTTTGAAGAATGTCTGGGTTTGGTATAATTTTTATGCTGCTTTTCTAAAAAAATGATTTAGATAAATCCATAACTAGAATGGATTCTAAACTTCAATTCCCATATGTTAAATAGCCACAGCATTCCAAAAGGAAAAGTTACCAGTTATACATATTAGTGTTTAAATTAATTACTTTTGGCATTTTTAAAAGAATTAACATTATAGAGGTAATTATGGGAATATTTTTTAGAACTTTGAGTTATATAGCAAAAATTTCAATTTTATAGTCTATAATTTCTCTCTATATAAAGATACATATTATTTTTCACTTTAATATCTCACTTCCTCCTGTGTGAGACCTTTGCTTTCATCCTGCTTGTCTGTTGTTATTCTCTGAATATACACTGTTGTTCCTAACCTGGCACTGACATGCATGGTTGCATTTATTATTTAATTTATCACTTGAATTTTGAGCCACGAATGTATAAATCAGGAATGTACATCAGACCAGCGTCAAAACCCACAACTTCTTTTTCATAGGTGGGCTGCTCCTATGATAGCTAGGCTTATCCCCCAATAAAGTTTTTTGAAGGCTTTGGTGTTTCAGTTTCTTATTTTACGTTTTCAGACTAAAAGCAGCCTGCCAGGAGCAGTGTTGAGTGGGCGCCGTACTTGGAGTCTGCTAGAAAGGCTTTGAACATTTTGACTGGTTTCTTCTCAGGAAACTCTGTGCTCTAACAGTATGCCCCTACTTTGCCCCCACCCCCCAAGCGGTAGTGATGTGTGTTCTACCAGGAACTGGGGATTTGAAAACAGCTTGTTTTTAATAAAAGTTTGTGTGTACCTCTCCATATTTAATTTATATGATCAAATAGGAGGCGGAGAGAATCTGAACCGTTAACTGTCGTATGTTTTTGTTGTTGACCTGTGGCCACAATAAAATTCACTTGTAAAAAAAAAAATTGTTTTCTAAATGTGATACAAAGGTCTGGAATTGCAGTGGTAAATGAGAGCTATATTTCTCAGTCATGTACTTTCTGAATTATATAGTACCAACATGATAAATAATGGTGGTTACAGGTTTTGGAATTAGACAGACATGGGTTTGAATACTTATTTTGCCACCTAATAGCAATATGATCTTGGGTGTGTTATTTAACATCTCTACATCTCAGTTTTTTCATCTCATCTCATCCTCTAGAAAGGAAATACTAAATATTTCTACTAGAATGCATTTCTTTGTAAAGTCCTTGAATTAATATTTGTCAACTACTTTGCCCAGCCCTTGGCACACAGCAAGTACTCAATAATGGTATGATAATTATTGTGAATACTATAACTTTTCTACCATAAAAATCATTGCATGTGAAAACCATCTTTAGGTATTTTGTACAGTCCACATCACATCATCCTCCTAAGACCATAGTGCATGAAGAATCAAACTTTAAAATCATGGCTTTCAGTAATTGAGATAGATTTGTTGAAAGAGATAAAAGTAATTCAGTATTCTCTAGTTGAACAATTAAATGTGGCCTCTGTTGATTTTACTAACATTTAAGTGAGAAATTTTTAATTATGTTTGTATTAAATTTTAGATCTAGTTTTATAAAATTGTTTCTTAGCTTCAGAATAACAAATACAGTTGCTTTGTGTGCAGTGATTTAGCAACTGGACACTGCTTTCCATTTTATTGTTTTGGCATCTTTTGCTTAAATAAAGCTTGTTAAATGAAATATTCACAGCATGGTAGTGAATACTTTACATTCTTCTTCTTATACACTTTCTCTGGACTTTGTACATGGCAAACTCAGTTCTCTGACTTTTTCTAGTATTAAAACAAGTTACTGAACCATTTTATTTATGTTTTGCAATTTCAAAGACCAATAATAAGAAATGTCTTAATTTTAAAACTTTTTGAATCTTAGGGCTGATTCTAGAGTCTTTAGATTCATTGCCAACTTTGATGAATGATACCTGAAGTGGGAAACAGCTCAAAGTGAGCAATGGAGTTTGGACCCATCATTTTCATCTTGAGGGGAGGGAATGAGACTATACTTGGATTAAGTACTTGGATCTCAAATTTTGTATTTTTGAAGGTAGGGGAGTAATGGAATTCATAGGATAAACTCCAAGCCAAAAGGCAGAAGTATTTGAGGTGAATCAAGTATGACAAGAAGTATTCATGTGTGTTTGATGATAGGGTGGAAAAAGGAACTTTCACACCGAGTCCATTAATCTTTTGTTCTTTTTTTTTTTTCCTCTTTCTCTTTCCAAAAGAGTCAGATTTGACTTCTTACAGCTGTCAAATGGCCTACCTGAAATATTTCACAGAAGCAAGAGCAGTATTTAGACTAGTATTGTGTTATTTAATTTTTTCCTAAACTGAAAATTTTCGGTGTATTTAATTGGTTCATCTTTATCAAGTAGGACAAATATAAAGCTTTAAGGAAGAAACTTGTAACATTATTAAATATAATAGCTCAGAAGTAGTGATAACAGTGAGAAATAAAAACATTAAAAAATTAAAATGGGTAATGACCACAGGATTTGGGGTTAGTTTACGGGGAAGATCACTGGAACCCCAACATTCATTCAAGACTAAACAGATACATATAGTTAATCTTGATAAGGACTACTTTGATTGGAGGGATTAGGACAGAAGTCATTTATATGAATTCAATAGAGAACAGGAGGAAAGGAGCAATTAAGTATTGATAATTCCTGAGTATCATTGCTAGAAAGGCAATAAGGTTAATGGGGAATAGCTAAAGAGAGATGTAAGGTTAAGGAAGGGGATTTGGGTATTGTTTTGTTTTTTTTTTTAACCCTGGAAATATTAGGACTTACTAGCTTGTAGATGGATATGGTTCATTAAAAGGGGAAAGTTAGATACATAAGGGAGATTCGAGCAATTTTTCCAGCATTAACTTTAGATTGACAAGAAGTGATGGCAGCCACTGTATAAGTTTAGGGTTTGTCTTTAGATAAGAACATGGTTAGTTGATCCATGGTAATGTGTAGGAGAGCAGAATGTTTGCAAATAAATATAGATAGATTACTGATCTAATGAGAAAAGAGGTAGGGGATTTCTTTGAATTGCTTTAATTTTTTAATGAGTTTTCGAGGTCTTCAACTGACAGTATCTGAGAAAAGGAGAGAGGAATTGTACTAAGGGTGTACAAAGGAAAGAGAGCTTCAGAAAACCTTATATTTCAAGAAAAAAACCTGGCCTGCTTTACATATTTGTATTACCCACTTGGCTCTTGAAGTTATTATTTGGGTCCTGATTAAACTCTTTTCTCTGTTTTGGTGAATTGTTTCTCTCTAACCTCTCAGCTCCTTTTTCCGGGGGGGTGGAGGAGGGGAATAAAAAGTTTTTTCTTTGGACAAAGTTAGATATCTGTTTTATTCTAATAAAAAGATAAACAACAAAATATTTTTTGATGTTTTTTTTTATATTCACATATATCCAGTCACTAAGTTGTATTTATTTTTATTAATTGCAGTGTCAAAAATGAAAGAAAAGGACTGTTGATATTCCAGATTTCACTTTTTTCCATTTTTTACAAAAATATATCATAATTTTGTTTTTCTTCTTCATTTAGATGTTCTTAATAGTTGCTCCTCTTTCTGTCCTCTACAACTGGAGGGATGAATTGGACACCTGGGGATATTTCAGAGTCACTATTTTACATGGTAACAAAAAAGACAATGAACTGATTCGTGTAAAGCAAAGGAAATGTGAAATTGCTCTAACAACTTATGAAACACTACGTTTATGTCTGGAGGAACTTAACAGGTAATGGGAATAATGGAAATAAGTGCATTAATATTCTGTTTATACCCATTGTATTTATACCTTTATATAGTGATTTTTTAAAAAGTTCTAAATATTCCTTAGTATAATTTCATTCATTTCAGAATTACTGAAATACTTTATAATAACTTATTCTCTAAAAGGGAAAAACCTGTGGGGTGCCTGGGTGGTTCAGTCAAATAAGCATCCCACTCTTGAATTTGGCTCAGATCATGATCTCAGAGTCGTGGGATTGAGCCCCATGTCATGCTCTATGTGGGTGTGGAGCCTGCTTAATATTCTTTCTGTCTCTCTCCAGCCATCTCCCACCCTGTCTCAAAACAAAACAAAACAAAACAAAACCTGCATCAGATTTTATACAGTCTGTTCTATTTCCTTTATTCTATCTCCAAATAATGCATGTTAAAGAGGGGTAATACTGTCCTAAATTTTATGCATATGTTACCTCTAGACTAAGACAGCAATTTTCATGAATGATTTTAATTATGGGAATCTGTTGTGAATGTTGAGTGGCAAAAAATACATATACATATTGAGAATCAGGGTTCCAGGACTATAAGTACCCAAAAGAAATGAACTGGCTTATGTCCACCTGAGTCTTGAGATTTTAATGAGGCATCTAGAGCTGCAACTATAAAGCCATGTGAGTGTTATAATATGTAACAGAGGATGTTGTGGGAGCACATAAGGGACCTAACTTTGTTGCAGTGAGTAGAGTTGTCAGGGAGCTTCCCAGAGAAGATGACCTATGAGCTGAGTAAGAATTGAATTATGGTAAGAGTTGAAGAGTAGAAGGGTAATGCAGGAAGAAGGAGCAAAGAGCATTTGCAGAGGCCTTCAGCCCACAAACATCATGGCCCACTTTTGAATAAATGAAAGCAGTTCTGATGCTTTCTGTATCTCATGGCTGCAGCATACGTGTAAGAGGGAAGTGGCTGGGAGACAACAACTGTGTGGTAAGCAAGAACAGATTATAAAAGATATTGAAAGCTGTCTGGAAATTAGAGGTCTTTATTCTTAGTAGTAAAATGTCCTAGAGATGTTTCCAATGAATTACTAATAAAAATGGTCAGATTTGCATTTTGTAACCTATCTGCTGTGTGTGCAGACAGAGGAGAACCAAACTAAATGGATCAAGTTAATTTAGGAGGCTTATGATGAGCTAAATTGTGTCCCCTCCAAACGTGCATGTGCAAGTCCCAACCCCAAGGACATCAGAATGTAACTGTATTTGGAGATAATATTTTTAAAGAAGGTATTATGTTAAAATGAGGCCATTAAGGTAGCCTAGTCCAATCTCTCTGGGGTCCTTAGAAGAGAAACAGATACTAAGAATTTGAGTGCATAGAGGACGGGATACATAGGGACACAACAAGAAGGCAGCCATCTATAAGCCAAGGAGAGAGGCCTCAGAAGAAACCAAAGCTCCCAACACTTTTGTCTAGAGACTGGAATTGTTGTGTCTGGCACATCATAATATTTTTGTTCATCATAGTATTTTTGAGATTCATCCATGATATCGGATGCATCTGTGATTGTTCTTTTTTAATGCTGAGGTGTATTGCATTTTATGAATATATCACATTTTGTTACCCATTAATTTGAGGATACATATTTATATTTGGGTTTTCCAGTTTTTGGTTATTATAAGTAAAACTAAGGACTATTATTGTAGAAGCCTTTTTTAAAGCATACATTTTCATTTATCTTGGGTAGACATATTTGCATTTTCTGGGAGTAGAATTGTTGGGTTATATAAGTGTAGGTTTAACTTAGAAGAAACTGCCAAACCACTTTCCTGAGTAGTTGTACCATTCTATTCCAACTAGCAATCTATGGAACTTCAGTTGCTTCATATATTCACCAGCATTTGGCATTGTCAGTCTTTTAGTTTTTAGATAATTTAGTGTGTCTGTAATAGTACTTTGTTGTATAATTTGCATTTTTCTGAATGATGTCTACATGAAAAAATATTTATTCTACAGTTATTCTATAATCTATAAATATCAATAAAGTCAAGTTGGTTAGGAGTCGTTCTTAAGTGTTTTTTGTCTTTACTAATTTTCCGTGGTTTTATAATTTCTGAGAGAAAAGTGTTGTAATATTCAATTATGCTTATATATTTTTAAATTCTTTTGAGTTCTGTCAGCTTTTAGTTCATATATTTTGAAGCTCTTATTGGGTATACACACATTTAAGATTAATATTTTTTCTTATGATTAATCCTTTTATTTTAAAAAATGTTCCTTTTTACATCTTGAAGTTTTATCTGATATCAATGTAGATAATACAGTCTTCTTATACTTAATGAATGTTTATCATTTTCTGTCTTTCTATTTGAATATATTGGTTCTTTATATTTAAAGTGATCCATTGTGGTTAATGATAGCTCTTGCTTTTTTATCCATTCTGATAACCTCCCTTTTATTTGGAGTATTTAGTCCATTTACATTTTATATAATTATTAGTAAGGGGGGCTTCCATTTTTCTCAGCTCTAGAATTTGATTTCACCTCACTTAGAAGCTAATAGCCTGCTCATGTTTTATGGATGTGATCAGAAAGATAAGTGTAATCTGAGGTGTGGAGAAGTAGCATAGCTCACCAAAGCCTACATGACATGAAATTTAAACTTTGACTAATTAACTCCAGAACTTATGCTCTTATTTAATATTTTATATGACCCCCAAAAGATGTTCTGCACTTACATAAATGTCAGTGAGATATTCATTCATCATAACATCAATCATATTTTAATTTTTAATTGCCCTTTTAGACTGTGAGGACTTTGGTGTAGGATAATTTCTGTATTTCAGTGCTTATTATACTTCCAACACATAATACTTGTTGCATAAATATTTGTTAAGTAGTTATTTTCTGTGATTGTTACAAATATTAAATAAGAATTCTGAAGTGGCGTTTTCTGGGTATGTGTCCCAGATTTCTGTGTAAAATTGAAAAATTAAATGTTACAGTGTTTATTATATATAGCATTCTGTTATTTGTTCAAATGGCTTCATTTTGACAAATGTTCAAAATAATTTATATTTCATTTGAGTAAATATTAAGTAATCCTGTTTTAGAGTTGCTGAAGTCTGGTTTCTTCTTTTTTTTTTTTTTTTCTTTCTGAAACTTTTTATCCCCTTTCTCCCCCCTCACGATTTGGGATCTCTTCTGATTTGGTTAAAGCATATTTTCCTGGGGTTGTTGCCACCCTTTTAGTATTTTACTTGCTCCTTCATATACTCTTATCTGGACAAAATGACAAGGTGGAAAAATTCACCACAAAAAAAAGAACAAGAGGCAGTACCAAAGGCTAGGGACCTAATCAATACAGACATTGGTAATATGTCAGATCTAGAGTTCAGAATGACGATTCTCAAGGTTCTAGCTGGGCTCGAAAAAGGCATGGAAGATATTAGAGAAACCCTCTCGGGAGATATAAAAGCCCTTTCTGGAGAAATAAAAGAACTAACATCTAACCAAGTTGAAATAAAAAAAGCTATTAATGAGGTGCAATAAAAAATGGAGGCTCTCACTGCTAGGATAAATGAGGCAGAAGAAAGAATTAGCGATATAGAAGACCAAATGACAGAGAATAAAGAAGCTGAGCAAAAGAGGGACAAACAGCTACTGGACCACGAGGGGAGAATTTGAGAGATAAGTGACACCATAAGATGAAACAACATTAGAATAATTGGGATTCCAGAAGAAGAAGAAAGAGAGAGGGGAGCAGAAGGTATATTGGAGAGAATTATTAGAATTTCCCCAATATGGCAAAGGGAACAAGCATCAAAATCCAGGAGGTTCAGAGAACCCCCCTCAAAATCAATAAGAATAGGTCCATACCCCGTCACCTAATAGTAAAATTTTCGAGTCTTAGTGACAAAGACAAAATCCTGAAAGCAGCCCGGGAAAAGAATTCTGTAACATACAATGGTAAAAATATTAGATTGGCAGCAGACTTATCCACAGAGACCTGGCAGGCCAGAAAGAGCTGGCATGATATATTCAGAGCACTAAACGAGAAGAACATGCAGCCAAAAATATTATATCCAGCTAGGCTATCATTGAAAATAGAAGGAGAGATTAAAAGCTTCCAGGACAAACAAAAACTGAAAGAATTTGCAAACACCAAACCAGCTCTGCAGGAAATATTGAAAGGGGTCCTCTAAGCAAAGAGAGACCCTAAAAGTAATAGATCAGAAAGGAACAGAGACAATATACAATAACAGTCACCTTACAGGCAATACAATGGCACTAAATTCATATCTCTCAATAGTTACCCTGAATGTTAATGGGCTAAATGCCCCCAATCAAAAGACACAGGGTATCAGAATGGATAAGAAAACAAAACTCATCTATATGTTGCCTACAAGAAACTCATTTTAAACCTGAAGACCCCTCCAGATTTAAAGTGAGGGGGTGGAAAACAATGTACCATGCTAATGGACATCAGAAGAAAGCACGAGTGGCAATCCTTATATCAGATCAATTAGATTTTAAGCCAAAGACTGTAATAAGAGATGAGGAAGGACACTATATCATACTGAAAGGATCTGTACAACAAGAAGATCTAACAATTTTAAATATCTATGCCCCTAACGTGGGAGCAGCCAATTATATAAACCAATTAATAACAAAATCAAAGAAACACATCAACAATAATACAATAATAGTAGGGGACTTTAACACTCCTCTCACTGAAATGGACAGATCATCCAAGCAAAAGATCAACAAGGAAATAAAGGCCTTGAATGACACACTGGACCAGATGGACATCACAGATATATTCAGAACATTTCATCCCAAAGCAACAGAATACACATTCTTCTCTAGTGCACATGGAACATTCCCCAGAATAGATCACATCCTGGGTCCTAAATCAGGTCTCAACCGGTATCAAAAGATAGGGATCATTCCCTGCATATTTTCAGACCACAATGCTCTGAAGCTAGAACTTAATCACAAGAGGAAATTTGGA